CCGATTCCGATCGGGTTTTAGTTTTTTTAGAAGTTAGCAGATTGGTTGGTCGCGTGCGGGAAGTTTGTTGAGTTTCAAGTTTTTTTGGCGGGAGTTACATGTGTGACCATTCGCGTGATTTTTTACCTGTTGTTAGTGACTGAATCCGTGACCCTACTCACCAAACCCGTCAGAAAACCCGATTCAGTGACACTACACGTTTTCTTATCCATTCACGTTATCTTCCGTACGAGTCCCAAGTTGGTTACTTGGGACATATTTTCCCGAATCCCCCACTCCCTTCTTGTCCTAGCCCCCAGCCGGAACGGGCAATCCCTTGGCTCTGCACTTCGTTCCCTTGCTTTCTTCCACCGCTGCCTCTATGTGTAAATTTCTCAAGCGATTGATGATCATCCATCCCATCCAAGCCTCTGGCTGTTGCTCCTCAACTCAACGGTAGCCGCGATCTTATCGTCAGGCCTATTCGAGGGTGAACGGTCAATAGGTACTTCTGAGGTGCGTCGCAGCAGTTTGTCATTCTGCGCGTCGCAGCATGGCGTCATTCTCGAGGTTGCACGACAAAGTGTTCTCGCAGCAGCACCAACAGCAGTGGGTGCTCGTCTCTCGGGGTTGGCTCCTTGCTGATCGTAGCCGTTATCACAATAATTCTCATTTTGAGCTTTGGTTTCGTGAACTTGTCACACTAACACGGTAACGATGCACCTGAAATACCCCCTTTACCTCTCGCCACATTAACTTTCGTTTCTCGTCCTTCTCTCAGGCGCTAACACAAAAAAGCGCTGCAGCTGAATGCGCGGATTTTCTTAAGGTCGACTGACCCTTTCATTCACCCCTCGTTATTGTCACTTTCGTTTCTCTTTGCCTCTCTCAGGCACTATCGCGACCATCTTTTGGGGCTGAATGCGTTTCAACGACACCAGAAGTTCGTCCATGACTATGGTCAGTCGCCTTGACACATCCCAAACCCCCCCGTAGCCTGCTTCTTCGGCTCCTGGATACATGCGTCTCAGCGACACCAGTCCACGACTATGGTCAGTCAGTCCTCGGGACAGTCCCTATGGTCAGTCCCCGTGAATAGTTTTGAAACGCAACAACTCTGGTCAGTTGCCTGACTTGAGGTTCCTGGTCACGCCTTCCAGCGACACCAGAAGTTCGCCCATGACTATAGCCAGGTAGCCTTGGGGCGTCTCACTCACACCGCATCAACTATGGTCGGTCTTGGAACATATCACGAATTTCGAGTATGATCAGCTGACTTTTGAGTCGATTCAAGCCTGCCCCGTACACTTCCTACACCTTATTGCCTCTGACGTATTCCCCTCCCTACCAGAACTCTTATTTCAGCTGCTGCCGAAATCGCCTCCTAGGTTATCGCTTGAAACATAAGCGTTCTCGCAATCCCACCCAGTGAGGCGTTTCGTTGTTAGCATACGGGGGGCTGCTGCCTGCCTGCTCTCTTCAGGTCAAGCTGAACCACAGGGGCTCTGCCTGTTCTGCAGCGCCCCTCCTCGCAGCCCCCCAATATCACTGCACATTCTGCTGCCCGCCTGTGCTCCTGCTTTCCTGTTCTGGAAGACGGGTGGCTAGGATGGGTGGCAGAGCGGCAGCAGACTCTGGAACAGTTCTGTGGACGGAAGAGTTGCTCACAGGGCTACACAGGCCTGCACATACATGCATGCGTACATGCGCTTGCACATGTCCACATGCACTTTCACATGTCCACATGCACTTTCACATGCCCACATGCACTTTCACTCGTGCACATGCACTTTCACATGTCCACATGCACTTTCACATGCCCACATGCACTTTCACTTGTGCACATGCACTTTAATGTGCCTAAGAAATGGACGGAAGGGTTGCTCACAGGGTTACACAGGCCTGGACATTCGCGCATGTCCACATGCACATGCGCATGATGCACTTGTACTGCACACATGTGCATGCCTCAACATCCATGCTTACGTGCTCCATGTCTCTTGATGCATTTCCCGTTGTCGAGTATACCTATTACCCTCTATTCCCACCTTCACCTTGTGAAGTCTCAAAAAACGCCTGCACTACACATGGATGCCGCAAGTTAAATCTTTGGCCACCCCACCTCACTCTCCCAATTCCATCCCACCCCACTCCATCCCATGCAACTCCACTGCATCCTTCCCACCCGCCCCCACCACACGCCATGGCAGTGCGTTTCTACGGCCGCTCGGCATCCTCCAGCGCTGCACCCACAATCAAGACGGATCTGGACGTTCTCAGAGAGAGCTACAGGTATGGGACGTGTTCTCAAAACCTCACCTACTCCCACACCCGTGTGACATGTCTCTCCGTCCCACCTGCCACCACCTCCCAATGCTGCACCCACATTCAAGACGGACCTGAACGTTCTCAGAGAGATTTACGTCTGTGCACCACTAACGTGCACTGACCATGCTTGTCCCATGTTCAACCCATGTGTCTCTACATCTGAGGTGCATGTTCACTCGGTCAGACGCGGATGATGCATGCCAGTGCATGCATGTCCAAGCACCACCCATGCCTGTCCCCATGCCTGTCCCCACAAACCATGTGTGTCCCCATGCCTGTCCCCATGCCTGTCCCCATGCCTGTCCCTAACCCATACGTGCCCCCTTGCCTGTCCCAACCCATGTGTGTCCCCATGCCTGTCCCCAACCCATGTGAGTTCCCAATGCGAGGAGCAGGTTCATTCAGTCAGAAGCGGATGATGCGGAACAGGTTCATGCATGACCAGTGTGTGTTGACCACGTCTGACCCATACTTATCCCAACCCATGTGTGTCCCCATGCGAGGTGCAGGTTCATTCGGTCAGAGGCGGATGATGCAGAGGGCACGTGGGAGCAGAGGCTCGCCAAGCGATACTATGATAAGCTGTTCAAGGAGTAAGCTAAGCACTTGAACCGCAATGTTTGAGTCTAGTAGTCCTGTTCAAGGAGTAATCACTTGAACCTGAATTGATCCACAATGTTTGAGTAAGTAGTCATACTGACAAGCTGTTGAAGGAGTAAGCACCCCTGACCAGCTGTTAAGAGTGTAAGCTTTTTAAAGTTGATTCTTGAGAAATCTTATACGTGACTGACTTAAATATTGCAGTGTCATCTTAAGCAGTAGTGAGTGTGTGACACACTATTAAGGGAGGAAGACTGTGGTGGTTTTATATTAGAGGGACCAAGTGATGTAACACTAGGAAAGCTGTGGTCGTATATCTTAAAGGTTGTGACACTTGGTCACTTGGACCAAGTGCTTTCTGAAAATTCTGTGAATCGAAGGACTGAGTGCTGTGACACACAGTGTGACAGGAACGACATACAGTCTACAGATCACTCAGAATTCTCCTAAGCATGTCCGTCATCATCTGTGTGCCTGTTCTGGTGCAGGTACTGTGTTGCGGACATGAGCCGATACAAGGAGAACAAGGTAATAAGCACATCAGGCTTGCATGTGTATGAGATGAACATCGAACATCACATCACATCACATGTGTGCCATGGCTTAGAGTTTATTGTATTAACATCACGCTGTCATTGTGCCTCTCGGTTCCATGCTGTAGTGCACGAGTTGTTTCGAACACTAACAACTGTCCTTTTGCACGTACGTGAGTTTAAACGTACGTCTCTTGTGTGCTTCTTATATACACACACACACACACACACACACACACACACACACACACACACACACACACACATTTTTTCATTCCTACATTGGTTTTTGTTTTTGTTTTTGTTTTTTTGTGTTTTTTTTTTTTAACTAGTACTTATTTCGGTTTCCATCCTTGCGTAATGCTGCACTTTCAGATTGGCTTGCGATGGCGCACACATGCTGAAGTGCTGCAGGGAAAAGGTAGAGTGACTAGTTAGAGTGAGTAGGGGAAGTGGGTGGTTGAAGTGGACGTGTGATGTGAAGTATGTGGTGAAAGTGAGTGGGTGAAGCGAAGAGGTGAATTGGATGTGAATAGAGGAAGCAAGAGACACACCAGCTATTGCACCTTGTTTGAGTGATTGCATGCGTGGTTGCATGCATGTTTGCATGTGTAATTGCTGGTTTGATCTGATAATAGGTGGCTTGATGGCGTGTGAATAGCAATGAATTAAACCTTTTCCAGGTGTGTTCTCGTTTCCTCTCTGCTGCACTGTTTTTCATCCCATTCCTTCTCACATCTTCGTTGCAGGTCAGTTTGTGTGTGGCACTAAAGGGTGTGACAATAGAGAAGGCCTTCATAGCTACGAGGCAAGTCATACAGAAGCATTGTCAGCCTTACAATCCCTTTTTGCTCCTCCTCTTCCCCTCATTCGCCCGCTGAATACACGGCCTCTGTGTTCCAAGTGAGTCTTTGTGCTTCTACGTTGACCTACTCGACGCACTCCTCTATTCCTCGACGCGCTCGCTCACCTTTCTTCTGATTCAATGGCTTAAGCGCAGCTCTGCGATTTCAGTTGGCATGAAAGTTGTTCGGAGTTGGAAAGGCACCAAGTGGCTTTTCCCTTTTGTGTTTTTGTGTCATGTCAGGTCAGGTATACAACTTTGCTCGCATCCCTGTTTCCATGACTTTTCTCGCACGCCCAGCCCTGCTCATCCCACACCCCTGCATGTTTCTTGGGCATGTCGGCATGTATACCTGCATGTATGTCTGCATGTAATCTGCATGTATTTTTGCATGCATGTGTTCTTGCATGGCTATCAAGGGCAGGTCAATTTCGCCTACCATGAGGCCGAGCAGAAGAAACAAGCTCTGGTCAAGTTGAGGGTGTGTGCCAAGTGAGTGAAGCTGAGTGTGTGTACCTACCAAGTGAGTGAGTTTGATTCAAACGTTCAAGAAATTACTGATAGTCAAGTGTGCCTCTCTGAATCAGAAATTGATGGAACCTTATGAAAATGCTGTGTTTGTCGAAGTCAGATGTCGGTTTCAGAGCGCCTCCTGAACAAAAACTAACTCGGCTTTAGCCGCTAGGTAGCAAAGGCGGGGAAGCAGTCTGTCTCTGATGCGGCTCAAGACCAACGTAACTCCTCACCATCGCTCCTCATCTCAGACCACCCCCTGTTTCAGGCACGCGTATCAACTCAACCAATGCAAGGAGAAGGAGCTGGAGCGGCAGCAAGAGGAATGTCTCTCTGAGGCGGCTCAAGACCAACCTAACACCTCACCATCGCTCCTCACCTCACACTTCCGCTTGTTTTTCCAGGCATGCGTATCAGCTCAATTATCGCAAGGAGAAGGAGCTGGAGCGGCAGCGAGCAGCAGAGGAGCGGGAGAGGGAGAGGGAGGAACGAGAGAGAAGGCAGAAGGAGAAGAAGAAACGGAAGAAGCGAAGGTAATATGGGATGGTGAATGGTAGTACTGTGGGATTGGTGGTTCTCTGGGATTGTGAATCCGAGTGCTTTGTGCATCTATTTGCTTCTTGATTACGTACAGTAGTGGGAAATAATGAATGGGTGAAGATTATTGTGAGTCTGTTGCAAGTATTGTACGTGTTTTTTTACTCTTCAACTCATGGAAACAAGTTTGTTGCCAAATCGTCATCACCCCCTTTCTGGACTATTTTGCCATCATATCTTCTTTTGGCCATGTCACCATCCCCTGCCTTTCTTTTCCATGCAGAGACAGCAACAGTTACTCGAGCAGCAGCCGCAGCCAGAGTGATATTAGTGGTAGTGGTGATCGTAGTAATTCGTGTGATTTCAGTAACACTAGCGGCAGCAAGAGGGGTGCAGCAGAGAGCGATAGCGATGAAGGCAACAATGCAAAGAGGCATAAGAGGGGAAGGAGCGAGAGGGCAAGGAAGGAGGAGCTCACTGGAAGGGGGGTGAGGCATGGTGCAAAGGAGGAGGAAGCTAAGCTTAGGCGGGAGAGGCAGGAGCAGAAGTGTCAAAAAGCTGGGGGTAAAGAGGCAGGCCAGGCAAGGGGGATGAGTGGAGCGAGCAGGGAAAGTGGGGCAGGTGGGGCAGGTGAAGGAACAGAGGCAGGGCAGGATGGGCGGGTACATGGAGCGGCGGGTGCTGGCAAATCAGCAGCAGATGGACATGAGAATGCAAGGGCTGGGGAGGGACATGGAGAGAGACAGGGGCAGTGGAAGGGGCAGGGGCAGGGACAGGGTCAGGGGAGTGGAGGTCGTTTGGCAGATGGCAAGGGCAAAAATGTTGTGGTTCAAGGTGAGAAGCAGGGGCTGCTTGTAGCATGCTGTTGGGTTGTGTGTTCGCTGCCGTGTTTTAGAGCTGCCATCTCTGTTTTGAGCTGAGGTCAGTGCCTCTTCCACAAGCAAGCTTGGCTGTCTCCTGCTGCGCTGTGTAGCACATGCATCTCGCACCGAGCCAGTCATTAACTTCCATTTTGTGTAATGTATATTGTGGATATATAATCTGCTTAATCTGGATGCACTCTGCAGGTGGCACCCTGCCAGCGAATGAGGAAGTGTGGCAGCAGCCAGCAATGGTGGTGGAGCCAAGTCGAGAAGAGGAGTTTGACGAGTACTTCCAGGGAATGTTCCTCTAGGCATTGTGGGTGTACTGTACTGTGTAAAGTGTAAGAGCACAATGTGTAGAGTAAATTGTTATGTTGATACTCAACATACGGTATGATTGTCTGTTGTAATTTTGCTAATGTGAGTGTTGTTGGCCTGTGCAAAGTCCCCAAAATACTGCATGTGGTACCATATGAAAAGCTGCATGCTTTTATCAACTCCTAACAGATATCAGTACACTTCCGAATCAACACGAAATGCGAAAATGTGATGCTTTCGGTTTCAGGATGATAAGAAATTGCACCCTGATGACGTCACAAACCGTCACCGAGAATTCCGGCTGTCAAATTCCTCTTATTATCCGCTCTCCTTCGGTAAATACGCATAGAAATAGGTGGTGTTCTCCAGGCACCTGTAGAATTTCCTCCCTTTCCAGTGTTCTCCGTTTCGCTGCAAGCGCTCACAATGTCCACGTCAGCGTCAGCCTCTACATCCCGCCGCGAATTTCGCTTTTGCATCGACCGCGGCGGTACATTTACTGACATTTACGCCGAGGTTCCCGGCGACCCGCCCTTCCGCGTAGTTAAACTTCTTTCCGAGGACCCTCTTAACTACGATGACGCGCCTCGGGAAGGCATTCGCCGGATCCTCGAAGAGGTAACGGGCGAGAAGATTCCGCGAAACGCGCCGCTTCCTACAGAGCGAATCGACTGGATCCGCATGGGGACCACCGTCGCGACGAACGCGCTGTTGGAGCGCGCCGGCGAACGGACGGCTCTCTGCGTGACACGTGGCTTTCCGGATCTGCTGCGGATCGGTAACCAGGCACGGCCGCGCATCTTCGATCTGACGGCTCGGCGCGCTTCGCTGCTTTACGAGGAGGTGGTGGAGGTGGAGGAGCGCGCGCAGGTGCTGCCGGGGGAAGAGGCGCAGGGGGAGGGCCGGGGGAAGGGGGATGGTGAGGCGGAAGGCGGGAGGGAGGGGGAAGTGGGTCTGTTGGATGGGGGGGATGAAGCGGGGAAGCGCACGGTGCGCGGAGTTTCGGGGGAGCTGTTGCGCGTGCTAGTGCCGCTTAACATCGAGAAGACTCGAGCCGCGCTGGAGAAGGTGTTGGCACGTGGCATCAAGTCATTGGCCATCGTGTTCCTCCACTCTTACACGTTCCCGGACCACGAACGCGCAGTGGCGGCTTTAGCGCGGGAGATGGGCTTTAATCAGGTCTCTGCGTCGAGCGATCTCGTTCCAATGGTCAGGATTGTGCCACGTGGACACACTGCCTGCGTGGACGCCTATCTGACCCCCGCTATATGCACCTACGTGGGGAAGTTTTTAGCGGGGTTTGACTCGGGTCTTGCTGACGTGGCAGTGTCGTTTATGCGGTCGGACGGAGGGTTGACTCCCGCCCAAGCCTTCACGGGTTACCAAGCCATCCTGTCAGGTCCAGCAGGAGGTGTGGTTGGATTCGCCCGAACCACATTCGAGTTCGAGGTTCGGGAAATGGAAGGTCTGGAAGGACTTTTGTCTGTCGTCAGCAGCAGCAAAGAAAACAACCAAGACGATAAGGACAAGACAAAAGACGATTCTATTGGTGCTGGTACAGCAGCAGAGGGAGCGCTGAGGTGTCGTCCCGTGATTGGCTTTGACATGGGCGGCACATCCACTGATGTGTCAAGATACGCAGGGGGCGCATACGAGCAGGTTTTAGAAACCACCACAGCCGGAATCACCATCCAAGCCCCCCAGCTCGACATAAACACTGTAGCAGCGGGCGGCGGCTCTCGTCTTTTCTTCGAGTCGGGCATGTTACGTGTGGGGCCCGCATCAGTAGGGGCCCATCCCGGCCCGGTCTGCTACAGAAAAGGCGGGCAGTTGGCAGTGACAGATGCCAACCTGCTATTGGGCCGCGTGCTGCCCGAATATTTTCCCGCCATTTTCGGGCCGAACGAGGACCTCCCATTGGACGAGCAGGCGGCGAGGGAGGCAATGGTTGAGCTGGCAAAAGAAGTGAACCGAGGGATGGGTGGGGAGGGAGGTGAGGGGGACAAGGAGGGGGAGGGGGGAGAGGAGTCAGGGCAAGACGGAATGTCAGTAGAAGAGGTGGCGATGGGGTTTATCCGCGTGGCAAACGAGGCCATGTGCCGACCAATCAGAGAGCTCACAGAGGCTCGGGGTCACGAGACCAGCTCGCACGTGCTCGCTTGCTTCGGCGGTGCCGGGCCTCAACACGCGTGCGCTATAGCCCGCTCCCTCGGGATCTCCACGGTGTTTGTGCATCGGCTGTGCGGGATTCTAAGTGCGTACGGCATGGGGTTGGCAGATCGGGTGGTTGAGATGCAGGAGCCGGCTGCTGAGGTGTGCTCCAATGAGAGCCTGCCACGTGTGCTGGAGAGGGCGGCAAGGATGGAGGAGCAGGTGTGGGCGGCGTTGTGCGGCCGGGGGAGTGGGGAGGGGGGTGAGGGTGAGGGAGAAGGAAAGGAAGGAAAAGGAGTGAGGGGAGACGGAGAGAGGGGAGATGTAGGGGAGGGGAGAAAGGAGGGTGGGGAGGAGGCAGGGGTGTGGACGCAGGTGCTGCTGAACCTGCGATATGACGGCACGGACACGGCTCTTATGGTCGAAGCACCACCCACACACACCCTCCCTTCCACCTCGCCCCCATCTACCTCTCTCTTATCCACCACCCCCCCTGCCACACACCCAGCAGCGTCATTCGACTTCCTGGGGGCGTTCAAGCGGCGGTTTGAGCGCGAGTTCGGATTCGACCTGCAGGGCGATCGGCGCGTGTTGATCGATGACATCCGAGTGAAGGGCGTGGCTCCATCTGGCGTGCTGCAGCAGACGGCCATTCCCAGGGCTGGCGCAGGTGAAGAGGGGGCAGGAGGTTTGGTGGCAGCGGGGGCGGCAGAGGCGGAGGCGGTGCAGCACCGGGTGTACTTTGAAGGCGGGTGGCAGGATACGGCAGTATTCCGGCTGGAGAAGCTGCGGTGGGGGCATGTGGTGGTGGGGCCGGCAGTGATTCTGAACGGCACGAGCACTGTGGTGGTTGAGCCGGGATGCACTGCTGGGATCACCAAGTATGGCAATATCGTCATTGCTGTGAGTCACACGGCACATCAGAGTGACATGGAGGGAGCAGCAGCAGCACCAGTACCAGCAGCAGCAACAGCAGCACCAACAGCAGTAGCAGAAGCACCAGCAGCGGCAGCAGTATCAGCACAAGCACAAGCCTCCCCTGCCTCCCCCGCAGTCCCCTGGGACGTGGTGCGGCTGTCCATATTCGGCAACCGCTTCATGGGCATAGCAGAGCAGATGGGGCGAACGCTGCAGCGCACGGCCATCTCGACCAACATCAAGGAGCGCCTCGACTTCTCCTGCGCCCTCTTCTCCCCCGACGGGGGCCTCGTGGCCAACGCTCCCCACGTGCCTGTGCATCTGGGGGCTATGTCGGATACTGTGCGGTGGCAGCTTGAGTATTGGGGGAGAGGGGCCGGGGTGGCGGAGGGCGGGTTGCAGGAAGGGGATGTGCTTGTAACGAATCATCCCTGCGCTGGGGGGAGTCACCTGCCGGATATCACTGTAGTCACGCCGGTGTTTCGCGAGGGTAGGATTATATTTTTTGTCGCGAGCCGAGGGCATCATTCGGAGATCGGGGGAAGTACCCCTGGGAGCATGCCGCCGTTTTCGAGGAGTATTTGGGAGGAGGGAGCGGCGATTCGGACGATGAAACTGGTGAAGGGAGGAGTTTTCCAGGAAGAGGCGATTCGAGCGGTGCTGCTGGAGGGACAGGTGTTGGAAGGGGTGATGGCAGGTGGAGAGGGGTTGAGTGGGGATGGTCAGGGTGGAGGGAAAACAGTGCGGCGTGTGCCCGGCACACGCCGCATCGAGGATAACCTATCGGATCTTCGCGCACAGGTGGCGGCGAATCAGCGTGGCATTGAGCTGATAGGCGAGCTTGTGGAGGAGTGTGGGCTGGAAACGGTGCTGGCTTATATGGGGTACGTGCAGGTGAATGCAGAGCAGGTGGTGCGACGCATGCTCACCCGCACTGCCTTGAAACACCTGGAGAGTCAGAAGCAGCAGGTGGCCGCCAAGAATAGTGACATAGCAGCCGAGACTGATGCTGTAGCAACCGAGCGAAGCGACTTAGCAGCTGAGAAGCAGCAAGAGGGTGGCGATGGGGAGACTGCCCAAGCCAGTGACGGTGACGGTGACAACCAGGTGGTGGTGCTGCAAGGAGAGGACCGCATGGACGATGGCTCCTTGATCCGCCTGCGCATCTCCATCCACCCTTCCTCAGGCTCTGCCCACTTCGACTTCACGGGCACCAGCCCCGAGGTGTACGGCAACTGGAACGCTCCCACTGCCGTCACCACCGCTGCTATCATCTACTGTCTGCGCTGCCTGGTGGACTCTGATATTCCCCTCAACCAGGGGTGCCTGGCGCCAGTGCGGATCACTCTCCCGGTGCACTCGCTGCTGTCGCCGAGTGATACTGCTGCTGTGGTGGGCGGCAATGTGCTCACGTCGCAGCGGGTGACGGATATTATTCTGGCCACGTTTGCTGCGGCGGCGAACTCGCAGGGGTGTATGAACAACCTCACGTTTGGCGACGGCACGTTTGGGTATTATGAGACGATCGCTGGAGGGGTGGGGGCGGGGCCGACATGGCAGGGAGAAGACGGGGTGCAGAGCCACATGACTAATACCAGAATCACCGACCCTGAGGTGCTAGAGCGGCGCTATCCGGTGCTTCTGAGAAGGTTCCGGCTGCGGCAGGGGAGTGGTGGGAATGGGGAGAGGCGGGGCGGGCATGGGGTGGAACGAGAGGTGGAGTTCTTGCGTCCTGCGACTGTTAGTATGCTGTCTGAGAGACGGGTTTTGGCGCCGAATGGGGGTGCGGGGGGCGGGTGTGGTGCAAGGGGGTTGAATTTGCTGCGGATTGCTCGGGATGGGAGAGTGGTGAATTTGGGTGGGAAGGCGAGTGTGGGGGTGGAGATGGGGGATACGTTGCTGGTGTGCACGCCTGGGGGAGGGGGGTGGGGGGTGGGTGGTGCAGGGGTGAATGTGCCTAGTGCAGATGATAGCTGGCCTAAGTTCAGCTGTGAGGAGCAAGGATGGTAGGGCGGTAGGATGGCACGGTGGAAATGGAGTTAGTGGTGCTGGTAGGAGAGGGTAGGGAGGGTGGTGGTTCAAGTAACTTGGGTAGAAGAAAAACATCTCTGTTGCATTGCATAAGAGTTTTCTACTTTCACACGGCGGGATTCAGAAAAACATTCATCTTCAGCAAGGGTATGTACATGGTATGTATCAAAGAATTTATTATCCCCTCTAGCTGCGCCAATTTGTTAGGGTCCTAATAACGCCATTGGTAGGAATAGCCACAGTAATTTTCGCTGAGGCATGTGGGCTATGAAGTGCAGCGGAGAAACGCAAAAGGTGGAACAGAGTGTTGGACTTAGTGGTGTGAATTCCTGATGCGGCTGGCGAAACTGACGAGCGTCTGTTGCGCCCAGGTACGTTACAGTAAATAACGCGTCATTTTCTCGCAGCCCAGATATTTCCCAGCCTTGACTACGCCGCTCACCTGGTGGGTGGACCTGCCCGTTCTCCGACCACTGGGGGTGCACCGGCCTTTCCCTTGGAGGTTCTAGAGGACAGGTAGTTTGAGCTGGAGTTCCTTGCGGCCGTTGTTCCCCATCTCTGCGCCATGCTGCTTGCCCCTGTGGGGGATCCAGACGGCCTTGACATCCCGATCCCTCGCACTTATGCGGAGGCGGTCTCGGGACCTTGGGCCCCGTACTGGATAGCAGTCGAGGAGGCAGAGATGGCATCTTATCGGTCTACAGGCACCCACGTTGACGCAGTCCCACCACCTGGGGCGAACGTCGTCAGCGGCAGGTGGCTCTACAAGGTGAAGCGGTCGCTTGGATCACCACCAGTGTTCATGGCGCGCTATGTGGTGAGCGGCTTCAATCAGTGAGAGGCTTCAGTCAGTGAGAGGGAGTATACTTCTTCCAGACCTTCGCTCCCACCCCAAAGATGACCACTCGTCGGGTGTTGCTGCATATTGCAGCTCAGCGCGACTATGAGTTGCACTCCTTGGACTTTTCCACGGCGTTCCTTCGGGGGAGCGTGAACGAGCAGATCTGGCTGTGTCATCCGCCCGGCTTCACTGGCTCTTTTCCCCCTGGGACCCAGTGGCAGCTGCGTCGATCGGTGTAACGGCCTGCGCCAAGCTCCTCGCGAGTGGCACGACACGCTTCGCATGACTCTTGCAGCACTTGGTTTCTTTCCATCGTCTGCTGACCCGGCCCTCTTCGTTCGTCGTGGATCGACCCCGTTCTTTGTTCTAGTTTACATTGACGACCTGGTCTTCGCCACTCTCGACCGACGCGCACTGGCCTCCATGAAGGGAGGAACTGCAGACGAGACACACGTGCACTGGCCTTGGTGAGCTGCAGCGCTACCTTGGTCTGCAGGTAACCAGAGACACGAAAGCTCGCACCATTACACTAACGCAGTCGCATATGGTCGAGCAGATCCTCACGCGGTTTCGCTTCCCATTCTCCAAGGTACAGCACACCCCTTTTGGTGTGAACCATGGACTGACGGATCCACTTTCGGACGAGTCATTTGAGTCCAGTGCTCCATATCCTGGGTTGGTGGGTTGTCTCATGTACCTTATGACTTGTACTCGCCCAGACTTGCTTTCCCTCTCAGCTTCGTTGCGCGCTTTGTTGCACTTGGGAAACACCGACCTTCTCACTGGTTGGCTGCTAGGGGGGTGGCGAAGTATGTGGAAAGCACATCAGGCATGGGACTTGTCCTTGGATGGAAGCAGTCAGTTATACTTACAGGTTTCTTGGACTCGTCGTACGCGGACTGTGGTCAGATGAGCAGGTCTTCACAGGGCTACTGCTTCAGCCTCGGGACCGGAGCTGTTTCGTGGCGGTCGACTCGGGCGTCGTCTGTCACTGGATCCAGCTATTAGGCAGAGGTGTACGCTGGCTGTCTTTCCTCCTCACCGACCTTGGTGAGCGGCCTCGCTCTCCCCCAGTCTTGTTCGCCAACAACATGTCTACTGTCCTGTTGTGCGAGGAGCGCTGACTGGTTGGGGAGGCGAAGCACATCCAGCTCCGTTACTTTCTTCTGCGTGAGTTGCAGCAGCATGGCCAGGCCCGCGTCGTTCGTGTGGTCTCTGAGGCCAACACTGCAAATATATTTACCAATGTGTTACCGCCTTGTGACCACCGGCATTTCTGCATCCAGATGGGCCTTGTGCCTGCCAGCCCTCACTTGCTTATGTAGAGATGATTTGAATTTTTGTCTTGTACTCTTGCATCTCCTTATATATGCTTTATACCTGCATGTGGATTGGCCTTGTGACCACTTGCTTGCTCTCGGACTGTGTGGTGACTTTGAGCTCTGAGATTTGTCTTGTTCTTGTGAACTGGTCTCGTGACTTTTGCTTGTTCTTGCTGACTGGTCCTGTGAACCCTGCACTCAGACTGTGTGGTGACTTCGTGATCCACCCTGAGATTTGTGCTGCCTTCCATAGGACTACCGTCACCTAGACTATGGGGGTGTGTCAAACTTTATTTTTATATATTTCATTTAGTTGTAGTCTATGTGCTTCTATTTTGCCCTAGGTTAGGTTTATATTTAGATGTACTCTCACATTCTAGTCAATCTTTACGTTCTCATTTTGTGATAGTTTCAATAATGGGGCCCTCCGCAGCAGTGGGGACCTCGAGGTCCAGAGAGCACCGGCCACAGCAGTAGCCCCGCCAGCTGCGGCCCCGTCCTACTGGCCGCGACTCTGACCCCTACGTCTACTGAATCCGGACGGGTACTGGTAGTCCCGCTTAATGTGGGTGCAGCGCCTACTCTGCAGCGCGCTGCTTCCGCCACCTCGACGACCTCTACCGTCAGCACCACGACTTTGAGGGGCGCATCTCGCGCTGGGCGCAGATGCTTACTTGTAAGATTCCTATATTTGATCTGACTATGGATGAGGCTCGTCAGTATGCCATGTATGCCGATGTTGACTACAATGCTGATGGATCAGTCTGCTCGCGTGTTCCTAGACAAGGATCTTTGCCTATTGCTATTGTAAGTGCTTGTGCTTCCAGTCTAGGTACTTGTGTAGCTACTATCCCAGGTGCACCTACGGCTGACGCATCGCTCTCTTTCACGCTTGACTCTAGCATGTCTTAGTGCTTCTTCCACAAGCACACGACTGTCACACTGCTTCCTGCTCTAGTTCCAATTTCTTTGGCTGATCCTACATCAGGACCAGCAGTTGCTCGTAGCTCTATCACCCTCTTGGCCTGGCTGCCCCCTCTTGTTTCCTCACTGGACCCCACATCCCCTTCAGGACCTCAGTGTCGGCACCTGGTTTCCTCCGCACGAGCGGTTGCTACCTGCGTGGATGGTGCCGCTTGGGCATCTCTGGCCACGTTTCACCGCGAGCCCTGCTCAGGTCTCTTCACACTGCACACCACGTCTCCCCAGGTACTTGCGTCTGATCAGGTTTTTGCGTCGTGCTTCTGCCGAGCGCTCACCCACTCGACAGTCCTGTGGCACCACCGTCTTGGTCACCCGTCCCTCACACTACTCCATCACATGTCTAGCCAGTGTCTTGTCTCAGGTCTACTGCTCGCGTTTGCGTCGCTCCCTCCTTCGCCTGCGTTGCGGTTGCACTCCTTGCACCGAGGGTCGGCTATGTGCCAATCCTCACTCCTCCCTTCGCCCGGCCACCGAGCCCTTCTAGACTCTCCACTTGGACGTCTGGGGCCCCTCCCCTCGCCCCTGGGCCCGAGGGGGAGAGCTTCTTCCTAGTGGTCGTTAACACCATGGTATTCCCCCGGCGGAAGAAGTCCAATGTGACTTCTATCCTGGTGACATGGTTGCTTGCCACTAGTGCTATGCGTGGTAGTCGTGTCATTTGTCTTCACTCCGATTGTGCTTCGTGGTTTCTGACGTGAGCAGGGCACTACTTAGTCCTAGATGCTTCCATAGTCCCCATAGCAGAATGGGGCTGCTGAGCGCCGCATAGGCCTAGTCATGAAGATCGTTTGCACCTCCATGGTCCATGCCAGTGCGCCCCATTTTTTGTGGCTCTAAGCAATTCGTTACGCCGCCTACCCGATGAACCTCTGTGTCAGAATAATGAACTATGAAACAGTTGGGTACAAGTACTAGCCCTAATTGGGTTGTACCCCTTATGGGCTACCCCACTATAGCCTACACAAATGTAAAAGCTATAATGTTCTGACACACCCCCATAGGCAAAGTGGGGGAGAACAAGTGGTCACAAGACCAGTCAAGAAAAGCAAAGCAAGCTCAGGGTGGATCACAGAGTCACCACACAGTCCGAGCACAAGCAAAGGGCCACAAGGCCAATTCACATGCAGAGTGATATAAAGAGAACAAACAATACAGTGATCATATCCTAGAAAGTGCAAGCATGCAGGTATATATATAGATCACAGTACAAACAGAGTCAAGCAGTAAGCAAGTGAGGCAAAGTAGGCACAAGGCCTAACATAGTAGAGAAGCACTGATGATCACCAGGCCGAAGTGCCTTGGTGAATATATCAGCAGTGTTGGCCCTAGTGGCCACGTACGCAAGACGAAGCTGGCCACGCTGCTGCAACTCTTGAGCAAGGAAGTATCGCCGAGCGATGTGCTTCGTTCTGTGCTCCAGTCTATGCTCTTGACACAAGGCAATCAAGGCCTTGTTGTCTACGTATAGAACTGGAGGCGAACGAGGCTGCTCTCCCAAGTCAGTCAGCAGGTAGGTGAGCCAGCGTAGCTCCTGTGCAGCCAAGGCCCCGGCGTAGATCTCAGCCTCACAACTGGAGCTGAGAACCGAAGACGAGCGGGCAGACCGCCACGAAACAGAGCCGAAACCAAGGCTGAAAGTGTAACCCTGTGACGACCGCTGCGTAGCTGAGTCGTCAACCCAGGAAGCGTCTGCGTGACCGGTGAGGACAACTGGACCCCGTCCTCCAAGCACTAGCCCCATGCCTGACGTACTACACAAGTAGCGCAGTACCCTCTTCGCAGCATCCCAGTGCACCTTTCGGTGCCTGCCGGGAGCCACGTAACGAGGGTAT